TATATTGACTCTGCGTGTTATGTGCATTGTTTTATCCGCTGATAATTGTATTTATATATATTCGTATATGCTTTCATATGGATCTATTTTTATATGCACCAAGGCATTTATTGTTATACAATTATTTAGCATAGATACATGGTATTATGCAAGATTTCGATGCAGGAATGGAAATACTGTATGAAATTGTCCAAATGGTTTTGAAATTTTCTGCGTTGAATATATATCTGACTGTATTTTGGTGTATTGGATTCAAGGTTCTTCACATCGTTGCTCAAGAATGAACTAGAAGGATAGTCACACTCACGAATGTTTGCGGAAAATCCAACCAGTTACACGTATACAATGACGCCAACTTGACATCGCTCGTGTATCGAGAGTGAATTAGCAATCCACTTAGACTTGTAGGACTAGTTTTTGATACACTTGTCCACCCATTCCAGGTTCATCGAATACAAGGGCCAAAAGATTGTGTACAAGCGATACGCCTCCCTGCACTTCTGCTTCGCCATCGAGGAGGACGATAACGAGCTCTTGACACTCGCCGTCATCCATCGATTCGTAGAACTACTTGACAAGTATGTGTGACTTCCCATGTTATTCAACTACTTGACAAGTATGTGTGACTTATCATGTTGTTCCACTACTTGACAAGTACGTGTGACTTATCATGTTGGCAGATCTCTGGTACGTTTGTCGGATTGTATTGCAAATGTACACATGTACTTCCCCATGGTCAGCATCTCGCAAGATACTTTGGAGTGGCAGTATTTATTCCGAGATTAGTCAATCAGCGCACCTTAGCGCAGAATGGAGCAGTCACGCATTGTGCCTATTCCGCTCTTTTGTGATTTGAACTACCAACTTCTGAGTGAATTGTGAACGATATTCACTTCTAATGATTGTAATTGGACGGGGTAACTGACCATATAAGTTCAGTATGTGAACGTTAGAATATTCTATTCTGTTCAAACGGCCAGTTATAAAGATATCACTGCGCCATCGCTCAACTACAATCGTCTATATTTGGCAGATACTTCGGCAACGTATGCGAACTGGATATCATCTTCAACTTCCACAAGGCGTACTATCTGCTCGACGAGCTAATTCTTGATGGCCAGTTCCAGGTATTTTCATATACACTCATTTTGTAGATGTTTATACGTATTTATATCATATGTAATTACGAGAACAGGTACAATTTTACACATTTACTGTATTTGTCTTTGAAAACCTGTATGTATATGGATATGTATATGTATGTAT